TGTTTGGCCATCTGTACTTGAATATATGTCATCATCATTATCTCGTACACCAATGATTCTTGATTTTGATGTTATATATATTAATATAACTAAAGTAAATTGTTTATTATATATTATTATTTATATTCTAGTTTTGCAAATTTTTTTTTTATAGACACAAAATATTATTATAACAAATCCATCTTCAGATCTTGTTACTTATTCCGTTGAACTTCTTAATAGTTATCCAAATAATTCAAAATCAATGATTAATGATCAAGTTTTTACTATTTCAACAGTATGTTTTTTTTCTTCATATTTACATAAGATTATAAAGAGTTAACTTATACGAGTTAGAGAAGAAAATTCTTTTTTTTTTATATTAAATACCGAATTACTTCAATACTCGATCATAGACTCAACTAGTGTCCTGCACCTACATAACCTTTCGAAACTAAAGCGGGATATCTGTACATTATAACCGAATGAACTTAGACCGTAGCTAATCAAAATTCAACAGATATTATATTAGTCACACTTCGTCTTTAAACTTTTATTTTATACTATTTAGTTTCTTTCATAGATAGCAACAAAAAAGAGATGATATCAAATTTTATAATAAAGCAAGTAATTCATGATTCATCTGATATCTTTCTGCTTTCAAAATCTAATTAATTTTGCTAAATATATATTTGCTTAATGCTAAAGATCATAAATACATGAATGAACTTAAACCGACATTTTTTTTTTCAGAATCATACTTCGGATCGTATGCTAGACATCCTATTCAGTTGTAGGACACGAAATCTAATGGAATCTGCCAAGTCGAAATTCACAATGTAGATTGCTAATGATAAGACACTATCTCGGATTGAATCATTGCCCATGGAGACCTGTCGCCACTAATTAGCGAAAAAAAAAATATAAATGATTAATAGACTTTAGTAGACAAGGCTAAATTGTTCGCTTTGATAAGATACAAACTTATGAAGGAACATTCTCAACTGTCATATCGCTTTTAAGTCGAGCATATGCGAATTATGTAGATCCTAACGATCTATGAATTCTCTGAAAAAAAAGTTCGTGCCGCTAGCTTATTATTGCTGAGATACTGCCTTTTTACTGTATGTTTAAGAAAAGAGAGCTGTGATCACACTTGGAAAACTGAATTTTGAATTTCAATTTTAAACTTTGCATAGATATAGGGCTCAATGAGAATACTTTATTGTGAAAGTTTCAGCTTTTTTTCGTTGCACCTATCCTAACATACAATTATCATAAAATTGCTCATATACCCTCCAGCGGATCCGATGTTCTTATCTCAGACTAGGAGTAACCAAAAAATCTGAAACATTCACAATAAACTGTTCTCATTGAGGCCTATATACATGCAAAGTTTCAGACTGAAACTCAAAACTCACTTTTCCTGAGGGGGACCACGGCTTTTTCCGAAACATATAGTAAAAATGCTATATCTCAGCAGCGGCACGAACTTTTTTGGGAGAATTCATAGATCATTAGGACCTACGTAATTCCCATACAGCCAACTCAAAAGCGATGTGAATGTTCCCTCGTTAGAATTATTTGAATATATATTTAATAAGAAAATGATTAAATTCTTATATTTTATGTTAAAATTTTTCAAACTAATATTTGATAAATATTTACTCTCTTGTTTTTTTTTTTTAGACATCAAAAGAAATCAAATTAATCAATGATATTTATAATTTTAATCTTTTACCTAATGAACATATAACATTTACTATATCGTTTCAACCAATATTATTAATTAAATATGAAATGTATCTTATTATTCGGTATGTTTTAAATAAAATATTTTCATGAAGTTTTTTTTTTTTCTTTTAGAAATAATTTAACAATAATTGAATCAATACTTTTACGTGGTGAAGGTGGTATTGGTAGTTTACAAGTTGGAAATCGTCCAGCTGGTTCATCACTTATTCCAATTGTATTAAAAATAGATGAAAAACAGTATGAACTTTGTTCAAGTAAAATAAATATTCACTTTAAAAAAAAAAGAAAAAAAAAACGAATTTTATTTTTTTATTTTTTAAGTGGATAACAATGAAAATCCATTATTACGAAAACTTATAACACTTCATAATATTGGAAATATGAAAACAATTATATATGATATATCATTTGGAAATTCGAAATGTTTTGGACAAGGTTTTTCTGTTTCAATTTGTACAAATATTGAAATTGAATCTAATAAAAAATATGATTTAAAAATTTTGTAAGAAACAGAAAAAATATTTTTTTTTATCATTGTTCTTTTTTTTTCTTTAAAAAAAAAAAGATTTCAACCAGATTATACATCAGATGAAATAAATGAAACATTAATATTAAATACTAATATTGGTCTTATGACATTTCCAATTATTGTTCAAATTCCACAACGTGTTTTATTGTCATGTTATAAAACAATTCCACGTCCATCATGGGAATTACGAACATATGGTTTATGTTTTTGTTCATTTTTTCTTTTTATTATACTTATTTTTACCACAGCTATTTATGAAGCTCGAAGATTATTTGATAATGTAAATGAAAAAGAATTTATTTTTTTCAAATTTAAATCTTTTTTTTCTTATCATAGTATTTATCTCGAGCAGAATGGCGTGATCGTATGCAAATGACAGATAATAAAATCTTTGATCTTAGTGATTTATCATTAGCTGTACAAGATGAACAAAAAACTCGGTAAAATATTTCTAAAAACTTAAAAAAAAACTTTTTTTTTTATATTAGTGAACGACTTGAATCGAATCCGATAACAGATATGAAAAAAGAAAAAAATGAAAGTAAACGTAAACGTTCAAATGCATCAAATCATGAAAATGAAGATAAATCATTGAAAGTAAATAATCTTGTTTTTTTCTCGTAAATGATTTTTTGTTTTTTCAAATTTTAATTAAAGTCAATTCAAAATTCCGATGGTTTGAATACAAATATTCGATCAGTAATAGATGTAAATTCTAAATCAATATCACATAAACAAAGACGAGCAACAACATATAGTGATTCATTAAAGGTTATTTTTAGTTTAATAATGATTAATATGAAAAAAAAAATAAATTCTTTAGTTTTCGAAATGTCAAAATGAAACATCATCAAAAAAACAATCATTACAAAGACGAAAATCAGATCAACATACATCAAAAGATTCACGTAAAATTACTTCATCAACAACTGTATCTGAAGAAGAAATTGAACCATTTATAGTATGTTTAAAAATAAATTCTAAAATAGAGAACAATCATAAGATCGCATTAAGTATACAAAACAATTGATAAATGAAATCAGATAGTTCATTTTCTTCACTTTTTTTTTGATTATAATATATAGAAAAAAACTTCAATAATTCGTTGAAATGAAAACAAATACAACTTTTAGAGGGGATTTTTTTATTTTTTGATAGTTTTTTTATAATTTTTCTGTCTTAAAATACTTTTTTTTTTTTTCTTTGATCATAGATTGCTCGATCAAAACGTACTTCAAACAAAGTAAAAGAATCATCTAATAATACGACTTCGCCATCAATTATTGATAATACTATTGCAACAAAACAAAAACCTTCTGTTGATTCTCATCAACAAGACTTGTTACAATTAGATGATAACATTAATGATCAACGATGGCATAGAGTTAGTTCTAATAAAGGACAACGTAAAGGAAATACAATTCGACGAGAAATAACTGATGAAACTCAAGCAACTAATAAACCTATCAAAGTATCATCAACCAATTCTGGTAAGTATTTCTGTTTGTATATATGTGTTATATGACGAATGTTATTATTAAACTTTTTCTGTTTTTGTCTTGTCTTGTTTTGTTTGATATTGTTTTTCTATCGGCTTATTTTATAGAAAATTCAAGGAGACTGTCATCATCATCATCATCACATAAACATAGTTCTATTTCACATGAAATATCACAGTCGCATTATCATCCATCACAACATTGTTCTACTCGTAATTCATCGTCTATACCAGTTCCTATTGAAACAGAAAAAAAGAGTTTACAGGATGACATTTCTTTAATATCTACTAATCGAGAATCGACATTACGTCAGTTAGCAGAACAGCTATGGGCATCTAGACTATCGTCATCAACGACGGTATGTTCGATGTCTATACGTTCACGTTGTTCATCAGCACCAGCATCTGAACACGGTGGTGCTCAGAATGAAACAATAAAAATTGATCAGAACAATGATGAAAAAGAAGATAAGATCGATTGGGATGAACCAGATGTGCCTGATGAGGGTAATTCTAGCTGCTTTTATCCCTATTATTTAGTTATTAATAACACTTGCTTTGGTGTTTGATATATATATTTATTTTAAAATATATATGTTAATGGTTATATATATATATCTATTCATATTAACGCTTTCTGTTCTTCCCAAGGTCCTTGAAAAATGAAAAATAAAGCTGTTGAAACGAACATAAAAATTGATGTCATTGATTAGAAAAAAAAAACGAAAATTTTCATAATTTAAAAAAAAATATATCAAATTCATTATATTTACATCAATTCATCATATGAAATATCTTTATTTTTCATGTTTTTAATATAATATTCATGAAAATCAGAAGTTCTGTTTTTTATTTTATTTCTCAACTCTATAAAAGCCTTCGAGTTGTACATTGATAGGGAAGGACAAACTAGTTCTTGTTTTTTTTTTTGTTCTTTCCATTTTTTCATTCTGTTTTTGGCGTTGATTCAAAAACAGAGATTATGTTGATTGATATGTATTTATTTTTATTTTTTTTTCATTTTTCCCTTCTTTTGCGTTCTCTATATTTGTAATTGCCCAATATCAGAGTATAAAACGTAATGTTTTATCGAAGAAAAAGCTTGAGAACATCCAGAGAGTCGAAGAAAGTGATATCAATTAACTAATCGATTATTCTTAATAACTTTAATTAAAAATTTAACTTCTTCTCTGCTATTTAATATTTTTAATTTAAAAAAAAAACTATATATATATTAACATGCTTAATTTAATGTCTTTTTCATCGTCAAGTGAGTTAAATAATTTCTATAAAATTATATTAATTAATTATTTATTTCAGATTTTGGTCGATATGCTTCACAAACAGAATTTTCTATGGATGAATTAAATGATATAAATGAACGTACACAAATACAACAAATTATAACAACGAATAATATTCCATCATTAATGTCATTATCAATAACACCACCAATAACAACAAAAAATAATCAAGAAAAATCAACAATTCCTACATCTATAATCAAAGAAAAGTATGATTTATTTTTGAAATTTTTAGTAAGATATATATACAATTAAAATAAAAAATCTTTCAAAATCAAATTACAAATTTATCAATAAAAACAAATACTATTGAAACTAGGGGTTTCGATAATTTATTTCTACAAGAATTTTTTTATTATCAAAAACTCAATAGAAAATTTCTAATTTCTCAAGTGTTGAAAATTTTCTAAACTTTTACTTCCCTATGAGAATAAGATCATGTGTGTAAAATTTAAAATCTATTCGTACATATTTTCTAAATACTTTGCAATAGAAAAATACTTATTCAATCTCTAAAAAAAAAATAAATTTATTTTCTTAAATTTTAGTATTGAACCATTACCATTTCCACAACATGGTTTAGGTCCAATTCAACGACCAACTAAACTTTCATGTTCAACAACTATACAATCATCAACATCATTTCTTACTGATTCTACTCAATCACCAAATACACCTGATGTACTTGTTCAAATAAATCGTCTTCTTGATCATTCAAATAGTGTAACAACAATAGCATCAACACCTAATGTTCCTATATCAACATTAATCAATGATATTTCAACACCAAATGTTTCATGGACACCATTTTTACCAGGAGAATGGTCATCTAAATATGATTCATCATGGCCAACAACAAATCTTCAAACTCCAAATGTTTCTGTTACAAGACAAATACAAAATCCATTTTTACAACAACAACAACAACAAATAACAAATGAAGAATCATCACTTTGGTCATCAACATCATCAAATCCACGTACAACACAAAATACTTCTGAATGGCAAGAAATTTTTTCATCTAATGTTCCTTCATCAACTCAAACAACAAAATCAACAGATAATTCTTGGTTAAAATTTTTACCTGTCTCTGATTCATCTTCAATTGATAGTATAACAACAAATAATAGACAAGAAAATGAAACAAATAATTCAGTAAGTTTATTTATTTTTGAAATATTAATTAATAAAAAAAAAAACAAAAATCATTCTAGTTTTGGAATCTAATGAATTCTAATGAAACACAACAAAATTCATCAACATCATGGTGGCCGAAAACATCATCTAATGGAAATAATAATGATAATGATCAATCTCGATGGGATTTTGCTCGTTAAATATATATTTTTTTGTTTCTTTGTTTTTTTTTTGATATTTTAACATCCATAAAAGAAAAACAAAAAGTTGTTAATCAAGATGAATTGTTTCTAACCGACGTTTTTTTTTAAGCTTCCATTTAATAATTAAAAATTGTCTTTATGCATAAAAACTTCTTAATAAGACAATAAAATATACTGCGCTCTTATTGTCAAAAAGAAATAAAATAGAATACAAAAACAAATATTTTATTCTAGACAAAAATGCCATCAACACATATTGAACGTTATATACGTTCTATATTTGTACAAAATATACCAGGTGGTATAATAGATGATCTTTTTCGACAAATGTTAGGTCAATTTGGAGCTTTAATTCATTTTCATATGTTTTCTGATCCAAATACAGCAAATAATACAAATGAACAAAATATACAAACACAAAGAAGTTATGCTTTTGCTGAAGTAAGTTTTTTGTTTATAACTCGAGGAAGTCGAGACGCGTCGAATGGTATCTAACAAATCTTGTTTTCATAAGATTTTGAGGGAACTAGACTGAATGTACTGGTAGGTGATCATCGAGTGAAATCATTGACCATTGTGGACTTTGGTATCAGTCAAAATTGTTTGTAAAAATAATTTTTCTATATACAGTTTTGTAACGCTTTTCACGTGCTACAAGTAGGGAACTGCAAAGTGGTCCCGGTCCCGGTCCCGGGACTAAAAATTTTTCACATTGGTCCCGGTCAGTTTTTATGCAATATATTTTCACGTTTATTATTTTGACATGATTTAAGATCTGTAAATCAGATATTTTTATATGCTATTTCTATAAAAGTCTTTACTGATTACGAGTCTGTTTGCAAGAATCTGAGTTTTCCAATTGCACAGGTTTTTGAATAGATATAAAACAACCAACACAACACTATACGTAAGTTTAATTTGTTCATTTTTTCATGATTCTTTTATTGAAGTCTTATCAGATAATAGTAAATAGATATGTATCGCCGTTTATTTATTTATTTTTTTTGATAATCGTAATGGCTACTCAGTGTAAATAATCAATTCGATAATAGATCCGTTAGGTAGAGCAGTAGATATAAAAGAAGAGAGAAATAAGTAAATGACTGCTATGAAGTATATGAGAATTTTTAACAAAATTCAATGGTTATTTTTATTTATTCGAGCTTTCAGTGAAATTTTTTCACTTTAACACTGGATATAAAAGAATTTTCGCACTGTTAACGAATCAAAATTATTCATGTCAATTTTATGTATTCATAAAAGTACACAGATCGTAAAAAAAAGTTGCTCGATTTTAGAAATGAAACCATTGTCAAAGACCGGGACTGGAAAAAAATTTGACCGGGACCGGGACTAAAAAAAGTGATTTTGCAGTTCCCTAGCTACAAGTTCATATACTCAGTATTTCCGATCGTTCTATCTTTGATAAGAAAAAATGCGACTTTTCGATGATCCACCATCGTTTTTCACTGGTAGTGGCTGTCTTTGAATTCATGAGCGTTTACCAGTAAATCCAGTGTGATTCCCTCAAAATCCTATGAAAACAAGATTTATGATATACATGGTTCTTTTTAAAATTCTCAGAAATTTTTTAATCTTCCTAGTAATTTATTGTGAAATTCATTCAAAAAAAAAAATTAAATATCTGTTTTTTTTCGTCATATATCTATCTATATTTTTTAGTTTGCATCGAATGAAATTGCACAAAAAGTTATTAGTAAATTAAATGGACTTGATTTAGGTGGTTTTCGACTTGTTGTTGATTTACTTTCTAATCAAGCTGAACCAATTATAAATTTATTTGAACAATTTTGTTCTACAAAAACGACAGTTACATCATCGAATAAAAATGATCCTCGTCTTGCTAATACAATACCATCACAAAGTTCTCAACCATCAGTATCATTACCTTCAACAACAACATCACCAATGGAAACAGCAAATATAACTACAGCTATGACTACAACAAATAATACTAATCCTGGTACAACTACTACTAGTAATAATAATAATAAAGAAGAACGTGAATCAATTTCAAATGCTGTTGCATCATTACCACCAGCTCAAGTTAGTTATTAAAATAAATAAAATAATTATTTATAATTTTTCTTTTTAAAATAGATGTTTGAATTAATGAAACAAATGAAACAATGTATTGAAGCAAATCCAAATGAAGCTAAAACACTTTTATCAACAAATCCTCAATTAGCATATGCTCTTTTACAAGCACAAGTTGTTATGAGAATAGTTGATCCACAAGTAGCTATGGTATTACTTAATCGTACTGATAAAGATGTTATACCAGCTCCTACTGATGTTAAAAAATCAACAACAACAACAGCACAACCAACAGCAGCTGCTACTGCTCCACTTCCACTTCCAGTTACAACTAATCCAACTGCTCCATTTCCTTTTCCAGTTATACCTGGTACTCCATTTTCAATGCCTATGATGGCTTCTAATGCTGCTACAGCTACTGCTCTTTTTCAAGCAGCACTTCTTTCAGGTGCTGGAATGTTTCCTGGTTCATTAATACCACCACCTATGCCACATGGTACACCATTTCCATCTGTTCAACAAACATTTCAACCTCAAATAAATCCATTAGCACAACCAATACGTACACCAAATCTTGATGAGAATGCTGCATTACTTTTATTACAATTAGATGATTCTCAATTAGCACAATTACCACCAGCACAAAGTATGCAAATTCGATCATTACGTGAACAAATTGCTAAAACTGGTTTATTACCTAAAATGTAGTTAAAACTTTTCTCTTTTGTGTGTTCGAATATAAATAAAGAAAAGTATAATTAACACATATTATCATTTGTGAAGAATAATCTTTAATGACAGTTGAATATATTCAATTGTCATAATTAAAAAAAAAAAAAAATTATTCTAATTTTATCAAGTCATTAATGATCAAAGTATAAAAATATAAATTTTTAAAATTCAAGTCATACTTATCTACCTTTCTATTTCAATGATTCTATTCAATCCTTGTTTTTTTCGATAATTGATAAAGCAAAATAGCGGAAAGAAAGTATATATGTGGAGCTTAAGAAATTAGTAAGAATGGAGTAGTAATATTTCTATTAATTAAACTGGGTATTATAAGTCAGGCAACTATATTTAACATGTATTTATAAGATTTCTTTGAATATTATTATTTAATTTCATTAGTTTATTTTGAAGAATGAATGATATAATATATATATTGATGATTATGATAGAAATTGTTGAATGAGCAATTGTCTTAGATCCAATATAAGAGTACATTCCTTACAAACTTCATTTTTCTTTTAGAATCAATATCTAATCATGTTGATAACTTTTATAAAATAGTCTTATAATATCTTTTTCAATTGAGTGAACATATCATCATTTATTCACGTGAAAATTTTATTTTAATTTAAAACAGTACAAAGGTCATGCCCCTATTGCTATGATCAATTTAATAATTCATATTATAATATGACTATGAGGTGTTTTTTTTTTTTTTTTTTTGAGAAAACTTGACTTGAGAATTGTGTTAGACATATTTCTGATGTTTTATGTGAAAGAAAAATTTATACTATTAAAATAGCAACAAAAAAAAACAACAAAGAGTCAAATAGAAGCATATTTATTATATTGTAACATATGTTCATAATAATTTTTATAAGAGAAAAATAAATATTTACATATGATTTTATCTACTAACTTTTTATCTTAATGACAAATTTATCACAGATATTTATTTTTTTGCTCTTTGACATTTTATTCAACGTTCAAGCTTCAACAAAAAAAGAGAAAATAATTGCTTTTAATGTAAGAAACGCACATCTTTCTTTTTTTTTGTCATAATTAACATTGAGAATATTTATTTCTGACATCGAAATAAAATTATATTCTTTGAAGATGTCTAATGTCAAGCACTGTAATAAAACTTCAGTATACCTTCAAGTCAAATAATCCCGTATTATATATAAGAAGATTACTAAAATAGATATTTTATTTATAAGACACCATCTTAGATGGTTTGTCATGCAATCGAGTGTTACTATTGAAAAAAGCATTGATTCGCAAGTAATTTCTTTTTTTTTTAGAATTCTATACGAATGAATAGTTCTGTTTTTTTTTTACGATTATTATTGAATATTTGTAGTGGTATAATTAGTTTAAAAAATCTTATTAAATTCAATAATATCCTTGAATAATTAATCATCGCTTGACTTATAAATGATTTTAATGATGTAGTCAACAAACTTGAACAATATTTCTTCATTGTTTTGTTTTTTTATATTATTCTTTAATCGTCACATCACATAAGTTTTTTTTTTCTTATTAATTTGTCACGACTTGTCTTCATTTTGTTTTTTTTTTTTTTTTCTTCTTGTGTCTCTTCTCTTATGGTTTAGTCTAAACTAGATCTTTGGTGTTTTCTTGTTCTCTCTCTCTTTCTCTCTATTTTTTTTTTGATAGTGATGAGTGTCAAGTATTGGAAAAGAAAAAAAAAATCCTACAGGTATAGTTGTCTTTATTTTGCTTCTTTCTCACTCATTTCCTATATCTAACTTATATATATAATTTCCAGGCATGGTACACTTATGTCAATTTCTTTCTTTTTTTTCTTTCTTGTCATTTAGTATATACTTTCTTTTTTTATTTTGACACATTCTGAAGAGTAAAAAGTAACTTTTTTTTTTTTTTGTTTGACTTATTATCAAAGAAAAATAACCTTTTCTTTTTTCATTTTTTTCGCTAGAATACATCTTTTGTTTTTTAACAATACATTTCCTTATCATCTATTGACGTTAATCTTCAGATTCAATCATTTGTGAATTAATTTCTTTTTTTTTTTTTTGTATATCGATTTATCTTATAAAACACGCTAAGTAAGTTGCAGATGAAAAATATTTTTATTACTAGTTGACATAAATCTCTTTTGTAGATATATTTGACATTAAATCTTATATTCAATTGGATATACAAATGTAAAAAAAAAACAA